TGTTTTTCTTTTTCCATAGTTAAACTTGTAACGTCACTAACAGGAATCCATTTGTTTATCAACTTTCCAGTTGTTGGCGATAGAAACGCGACTTTATATTTATGAAGACGTACATTTCTTGCAACAACATCAGCCTCTAATATATGCCTTTTGGTTACAGACTTTGTTTTGGAAGGATAGCGAATCAGAACAGTCTCTCCAACTTCGTAAATCGACGGAGGATTGTTTCTTTCTCCACGTGCCACCATGCGGTTGGCGCATCTTCGCGTAGCCGACGACGCCAAATTCCTGACTGCACAAAGATTTGCTTCATGTTCGGAATAGTCTTTCGGACAGGGGCGTATCATTTTGTGATATTTATTCGATGCTACATCCCATTCTTGCACATTCGGGTTTCCAGTGGCAGCAACGTTGGGCTTACGACCATAATAAATCTCGAAGGGAGATTTCCAGGATAGCTCTTCTTTTGGGTCCTCGTTTAAGGATCTCGCATACTCCGGTAGTGACTTAACCCAGTTGACACCAGCTTTTCCCATCACCAGGAAGTCGTGCATGATTTTCTTTTTGAACGACCTATGTGCCCTCTCAACTTTTCCTTGAGATTGTGGGTGATAGGGACGACCTTTAACCACTTTGATGGCTAGCTTTTTACACAATGCTGCTACCGCGCCTTCAAATTCTCGCCCTTGGTCGTGCTGAATGACGCGCGCGGCCCCGTGCTCCCTGTAAATACGAACCAATTCACGCGCCACGTGGGAGCTCTTCTTTGTTTGCAGTGGTACCAGCCAGTGGTACCGGCTGAACACGTCGAGGATCGAGAGAACATACTTGTATGTTTTGCCCTTGTAAATAGTGCGTAATCTCTGCATGTCTACCAAGTCTATTTGATGTCGAATTTGTACTGTTCGGGCACGGACTGGTCGAAGTCTTGCTTTGTTTTCAAAGCGAACGTTAAGCCTTTGATGAACGGTTGATTTGGCAAGCACTTCGTGGACGTCTCGCTCTGCAACACCGCTATAACTGTTTTTAAGTTTATGGTAGATATTTCGGACTCCTGATCCTTTAGATGACTTGTACATTCTTTTCACAACATCGTGTAACTTCTCTCTCTTAACAACTCTTTTTCCATTCAAACACAGCATTCCACCCTTTAGAGACAATTTTTCTCTGTTTCTCCAAAACCGTACTACTGCAGACTTCTGTTTGTTTGTTCTACTCTTGACAGGAACTGCAAACTCTCCTTTTATCAGCTGGACGAATACATCATAAGATTCGTTGTCAAGGGTGGAGATACTCGAAACACCCTCGAGGAAAATATCGATCGTAACGAACAAAATAGTGAACAGGACAAGCGCCTTCATGCTTCTCAGCTTCAGCAACTGGATCACATGAGCCAAAAGAAGGACGAGAATGTGTTTGTTTTAGATCGCTGCTGATAACGACTGTCGAAAAGCTTTTAAATGGTTTCTGACACTGACCATTTTGCCGGTACCGTAAACTTGTAAGCCAAATCAAAAAGGAAGAGCGGGAATACATACGGCTTTACGCTGAACTGACATAGGTTACCGTTCAGGAGGTTATGGGTGATTTCAGAAAAAACAAAATATCCGGCAGACTGATTTCGAGGGAAAGACATTATTGCAGGGAAATATGTGGCGTAAAAAATTCCTCCCATGGAAAGAAATATATCTTTCATTGCGTGTAATCTGTAATGTGTAATGTAATAAAAAAAATCTTACACCGTTGTATGAAGGGGAAAAAATTCTATAACCAGAGGTTTGACCAAAAAGAATCGGATTATACGAAGCTGCCCACCTAGCCCTCCCCTAAGCCAACATTTTGCCCTAAGTGAGAAATAAGTGTTAATGTTGGCTTAGGGGAGGGGTATGTGGACAGTTTCCTATAATTGTCCAAAAATTCTAACCCCAACCAAATTCCCCCCCCCCCCCCCCCCCCCTCAAGTGGTCAAAAATGGTCGGCCCTAAAAATACGAAATTGCGCACTTTTTATGGATCTCCCAGTTCAAGATTTGGAGCCGTTAACTCTAAGCCAATGGCGATTGCGCTGCTGAACAAATTCAAGGTTTCGTTTAGCGTCGAATGCGTTTCCTTATATTGAGTCGGTCGGTCGGATTGAAAAAAAAAACCTAAAAAACAAAATCACAAGAAGTCTCGGAATAGAAGGCCCTGTTACCCCAGGACGACGTTAAAAGTCAACATTCACATATTTGGATTAACAAAATGCACAATATACTGTAAAAAATGTTCATGTCTTTGTTCCTGTTTTTCTCTATGCTGTTACTATGCTCATTTTTCAGATTAAAAGAATTATTTCAAGTGAAAAATGGTTTAACTACGTCGTTACTCTTTTTTTTGAAAATACGAAAAATTTGGGTCGGTCGGACGACGCTAAACGGAGAAAAAAAAAGGATAGCCTGTCTTCTAATCACAACTGCCTTGCCAGGCAAATTCAATATTTTTGTGTATCAGCTTAGCTCTACTCCAATCAATTGTTCTAGGCGAACGACAACTGCCTTACAAGGCAAACTGACTTGACTTTGCAAAGCTTGGAAACTTCAACATAAAAGAAACTTCGACCTTAAAAACAGCATTAAGAACAATTCAGCCTCTATTAAGTGAGAACTAAGGAAAAGTAAGCAACAGCCAAAGTTGTCTGGTTCTCATAAAAAAAAGTGTGACAGATATCCTATATTTTAAATGCATTTGAATTATGCTTTGAAAGTTGATTCTATTACTTGTTTTCGACGACAGCTATTTTATTTGACTGAATGAAATTCAACATCAGAAATTAAGCCAAGTCTCTCAGTTGCTACAGTTGTGGTACAGTACAGCAAGCTCTTGCAGCCATTTTTGTCTGGTCACGCAACGCTCCTCCTCCTTTGTTAGGGAAGAGTGTTGCGTGACGAGACAAAACACGGCTGCGAGGGAGACTAGCTCAGCACGGAAGTAACACGACGTTTCAACCGTTATTTCATTGATAATAATAATAATAATAATAATAAAAAGAAGAAGAAGAAGAAATATTATTACTATTATTAATATCAATAATAATAATAATAATAATTCACATGAAGATCTGGATCAGCTACTGATTACTGAGCCACAATACCGATTTTGAAATAGCATGCACGTCGTCATTCGGAAATTATTATATTTTGCGTTATTACATTATGCGTTAGAAAAGTTATTACAATTTGCGTTGAAAGATTATTACATTTTGCGTTGAAAATTTTCTAACATTTTGCGTCAATGTTATTACACTTTGCGTTAGTATTACATTTTGCGGCGATTCTTATTACATTTTGCGTTAATATTACATTTTGCGGCGTAACAACGGGGCTTCTCAGCATGGTCCGAACTTTAATAATTACTTTGTTTACCGGAAATTGTCAAGTTGAGACGCTTTTTTCAAGTGATATCATAATCGAGCGAAATGAAACATTTTTACTGTTCTTGCTCCCGCAGCAAACACGACCAACATAGACTACTGGCAGTCTCTCATTTTTTTTACTGCTCGCAGTCTACGACAAAGAATCATCAGTTTCGTGTGAATACACAAGACCTTTTATCTTACAACCTCATCAAGCACCGTGATGGTCACAAAGAACAGAACACTGGCCAGCCTGAGACGCGAATAATGAAAGTAAAGGAGAATTATAAACAATTGTCAAAACGCTCAACGGATAGTCTTTACCAAAGCTTCATCTCTCTCTTAGCAAACCATTTAAAACTCCATTCAAGACAGTATATGTTTTTGCGAACAAGGGGGTCTTTTGAATATCGGCATTACAGATGTCTGGCAAGAATCGCAATCGCTTTGAATCGCTGCTCGGTGTATGGACAAATCCAGTATACAAAACCTCCTGAGCATCTCTGCCTGCT